GTGCAAAATATATTGGGATAGGTATATGTAAGTGCATTAATGATATTTGTAATCATAAATGATGTTGTATTAGACAACATTGTGTATTTGTGTGTAATGTATTCATGGTTTACAATTTCCTTTAATACGGAGTATATATGACGTGCATACAAATTGCCATCAAAGTTTTATTAGTTTTATTAGCAGTGGAATCTATAACTAAATTTTCTTAGTTTTATTAAATTAAGAAAAAAATCTTTCAATGTCTAAAAGAAGTTTTGTAGAAATGTTGCCACTCAAAAACCTGTGATCATACATTAATGGTGAAGTTAAATACACTCTACCAACACCTAGAAATTTGCATACAAAAAATAAATGAATAAGAAGAACAAAATGAAATGAGTATAATCCAAGATTGTGATTGAAGACGTGTATACAAGCATTACACTATGATGAGATGGAAGCAGTAGGCTTTTGGAAATCAAATTTGTTCACCCTCTTTTGATGATGTTCACCCTACCCTAATTGCAACAGTGTTTGCAACAGCTCATCTTTTGGTTTAAAAAGCACTTATTTTATCAAACACTACTAACTTTTACTTTTCTCGACTTTCGTGTGAAAAGTGCTTTTTATTTTTTCTATGGAATGAAAAGTACTTCATATGATTTTATGGAAAACATGTTCTTTTGTTAATCTAAATCATATCTGGGTAGGAATGGCAGCATAAATAAATATTTGGGTAGCCATCTGAAACTTTATACGTAGTACTTTTTACAATTTTAGAAATGTCTACAAATTGAATTTAAAATCTATTTTTAAATACGTAATACATATAATGTCATATTTTTTATATTAAAATTGTAAGACAAGTAATGTTATTTAAGAGTTAGAATTTTTAAATCTATTAAAAAAACCATGGTCATTTAACTTTCAAATATTTCGGTACACAAAATAAAATATGAATTGAAAACTTTTGGGTTTAATGCAAATAAGCAGATCGATTAAAAAAATTAGAGTAATTGTGTCTTAGTAAAATTTCAACTAATTCTTTTGAGATATTTCATTACGGATAGAAGAAATCCATGCATGTATAATCGTAATCCTTTTTGTGAAAAAAAAAAGTTAGAGTACTGTGGAAGTAAACAAATCTGATAGATTTTAGGTTGTGGGTGTGGTGATTTACATACAGGTCTGATCCATTTGTTTTAAGGGACATTTGATCAGTGAAATTGAGGTGTGTAGTTGAGGGAGTGTATTCTTACCGTTTTTATAGAGCTTAGAGCGGCGGACGAGGCTGACGAGGTGGAAGAGCACTACCGCCGGGTGATTACGGTGGCGGAGATTCGGTGTCGGATTGGGTGTAGCATCAGAAGCATTTGATAGTCCGGTGAGGTTTAAGATGCCGATGGTTGGAGAGAGCCTGACCGATTCATTTTGAATGGAAGAATCGAAGCGTTGAAAAGAAATGAAGGGTTGGCGTCTGGAGGATTCTATGGTTTATTAGGGTGGGCTGTTGTGGTTGGACTTCACATGATCACAATCAATGGGCCTCTTATTCTTGCCTGTTAAAATTAAACGGGTTTACATATGTAGTACTACATCCGTCCCACTAACATTGGGACGGAAGAAGATGACACGATTATTAAGAAAAGTGAATTTATGTTGTTGATATTAAATTGAAAAACTAAAAATAGTCAGAATGATTTAGAGCTACACAAACTTTACCAAATTTGATATGAGACAATCTTAATGGAACTTCCCGAAAAGGTAAAATGAGACAATCTTAGTGGGACGGAGGCAGTATATGTTTAGCAGCTTAGGATATGTCCAACACTTTCGCAAATGGTTTAGTTTTATTTGTTTTTAAATAAATGTTATCATTTCTTATTTAGGAAACCGTCAATCATCTAAAATGACAAATTATTCATCAAAAATTAAAATGAATACATCTATAACATCACAATTATATACCCATTAAAACTATCTATTATCTATTAATATATAAAAGCACATTTCTTTGATGAATAGGGTTCCCCCCAAAAATGTCAACATCATGCTTTTGTTCATTTTTCCATTAAAAAATTGCAATATCCTTAAACAAATGTCAAAATAAATAGAATACAAAATAATTGTACATATAATCTAAAGATATTACATCCATCAGAACATAAAGTTTTGTAAGAAACCAAATCCTATTGGTACAAAGATGTAAAAAAGTATTTTGAACATAGTAACTATGCATAACATGTCACATTTTCAGAAACAAACTTTATTTTAATTGTATTTATGTAATCATTTAAAAAAGTTATATACATATATACCTAAATAACATTATGTATAAATACTTATTTGAAGATTTTCTCATAAATTTATATTTATGTTTAGTTTAGGAAAGACATAACACATTTTCACATATCTGCGCACCCCCTGATTTGCCAGGTTACATCAGCAATTCGTCTAAATAATGCAATTCATATAGATAAAGACATAACACATTTTCGAATATCTGCACACCTCCTGATTTGCCAGGGTACATCAGCAATTCGTATAGATAAAGATAAAGACATAACACATTTTTACATATTTGCACACCCCCTGATTTGCCAGGTTACATATATCAGCAATTCGTATAGATAAAGATAAAGATAAAGACATAACACATTTTCACATATGTGCACGCACCCTGATTTGTCAGGTTACATCAGCAATTCGTCTAAATAATGCAATTCGTATAGATAAAGACATAACACATTTTCACATATCTCCACACACCCCTGATTTGTCAGGTTACATCAGCAATTCGTCTAAATAATGCAATTCTCATAGATAAAGACATAACACATTTTCACATATGTGCACACCACCTGATTTGCCAGGTTAAATAATCAATTCGTCTAAATAATGCAATTCCTATAGAAAAAGACATAGCACATTTTCACATATCTGCACCCCCCCCCCAATTTGCCAGGTTATATCAGCAATTCGTCTAAATAATGCAATTCGTATAGATAAAGACATAACACATTTTCACATATCTGCACACCTCCCTGATTTGCCATGTTACATCAGCAATTCGTCTAAATAATGCAATTCGTATAGATGTAATGTCACCATATTATTTAGTAATTATAAAAATTTATACCTTCAGTTAACATATATAGACCTTTGATTTGAAAATGAAAAAAATCTTTGTCAAAAGTTTACTTGAATGAAGGATTTTAGTAAGGGATTTTTTTTTAATATGAGTAAATGAGTTTGAGAATTCCAAAATAAAATTGTCATGTTTTTTATTGCCAAAATAGGCGTAATTAATGTCAAGCTTGAAAAATATTGTCATGCTTAAGGTCCAATTTTGGAATACATAAAACTTTTTTGTCCTATTTAGTGTAATTTCCCTTTTAACAAGGGTTAATGCTAGACAGAAGGTACAAAGAAGTGTTCACTAGTAGAAAAAGGCCTTATAGTGACACTATTTTTGTGTCATAGAAAGTATCTGTGACACTTCTCTTTCGTCGCAGAAGGTGGGAAATGGTGACACTACGTTTAGTGTCACAAGTGAAATGTCAGCAAATTGCGACGCTGAAGTATCATTAGATATTTTGACGCTATTGTATCACAATTATTTGTGATACTATAATGACACAAATAATCATGACGCCTTAGTATCTTATAAAAGGGTAAGCCAAACCACTTTATTATTTATTCCATTTGCAAGTGTCATATATATATATATATATATATATATATATATATATATATATATATATATATATATATATATATATATATATATATATATATATATATATATATCGCATCCTCGTATCATTACTTTTAAGCACATTTGCAAATCAGATACAAAGCAATAAAGCACATGTACAACTCATAAGCAATTATGTAGCATTACATTATTTCCATACAACTAACTTGATCAAAATGCATGATATTATAATCATGTCTTTTTGGGCTGTTTTTCATGGAACAAACTGTTTCCATGAACCATAGTTAGAGTACGTACAAAAGATTACTTCCAAGTTCACTAAAGTACATTCCACATTTTGGACACAAAAGTCATACTTAATTCTCCAAAATACAAAAGCTTGGCAATATAATAGTATGGCACTTGTAGGTGCTAACTAGCCAAAATATCCATTGTGCTTCAAACTTCTACAAACTCCTCCCTGGCCTTGCATGCTGCAAATTCTCCCCACCGGCCAATCCATTCTGTAAAAAAAAATTGACATTGACAAAATGAAAAATCTTGATCAATCAAAGCATTGAATCACTTTAGATGACCAGCACTACAACTCTAAAGAGACATCCTCATGAACAACAAACACAATACAAACTCACCATTCTAGCAATGTGGCGGCATATGCAATCCATTCTTCACGGACTTGTAAAATGTCATTTTCAGAATACTCCTTCACTGCATTGAACTTCAATGACAACAAAAATTCAGATTCTAATTATTTATATATTACAATAGTATAGGCAAAAAAAATACAACACTCACATTCTTCTTCAACAAACTAATATCAGAAATGATGTCTTTGATGTACTTCATAACAAAATACCCGCATTCAGTTGCTCCTTTTTGCTTGGGACACTATAGTTTGCAAGTAAAGTAAGCATTGATAATTATGCAGTTCTGAAAACATATATATTCACATATAAAAACTTCATACCACAACTCTAATCCAATTTGACTTCAGCCTAGTTGCCTTTGATGCTTGATACATCTTTACTCCTCTGAAAATATAATGTCACCATGAAATATACCCATCAGATTAACATATTCTAGGCCATTGAAAACAGGTTACTACATTCTTTAAAGTTTAAATAATATAGTGTCATGCTCATTTAGAAAAGTACTTAACTGGTCCACAATAACCTGCAAATCCAAGGGTGGAATATCCCCAAGCGAGTCTAAGTAGTATACAAGCCCAAACGCGATGTCAATAGCAATTAACACCCAATGATCACTACATAAAAATAATACGGTTAACAAATCAAATAAATACCACATTACTAATTATGATTTTCCAAACACGATGTCAATACATTCATAGTTAACAAAAACAACATATCTTAGTTGTTGTAACTTACTCTGCATTATATGGGATAAGTGTGATCTGCCCGACCAGCCCTACGCCTAGTAGATCTGCAATGTATTGAGATCTTCTTGTCATTGCTTCATCAGACGATCTTTTAGGGCGATGTATAGCAGCAGAAGTACCAAATTGTACGGGCATTTCTCCACCATCATCAATCATTTTCTCATATAGGTGCCTACAATTTCATAAGAATGTGAAAATATTTTACAAAAAAAGATCTAAATCTAGATACAAACTACTTGAACGATACTTACTTGCACCATATTTCTATGACAGAGTTATTAGCTTTGTCACAATTTAGATCTAAACCTGGGTACAAAGGCTTCTCAGAATCTTCAACTACTGCCCTGAAACGATTGGAGTTATTACCTAACTGCTCATAAATATCACCTAACATGTCCTCGGTTTCACGTTGTTCATGTAAAAAAGTGGACTCCGAACTTCTGTATGTGGTTGGTTTCTCAACCTCCCCATGACGAGACCAGACAACGTAAGACTCTAAGAATCCAACTTTTAACAAATGGACCTTGATTTGTTCAGGAGTATGAAAGTCCATGTTGCAACATTTCTTACATGGGCACCTAAGTGATCTACGATTATCAGAGTTTAGCATAGCAAATTCTATGAAATCTGTGACACCGTTTGTGTACTCATCAGACAGCCTATTTCCTTCCTTTATCCATGACCTATCCATCTCCAAAGTACAACCTGATATGTATATATTTTAAGGACATAATAATTTAGACCAAATAAAAATTACAACCCTCCATTTCATATTTCAGGTACCTTAACAAAGAAGTGATCAAAAAGACATGTTAACTTAACCACATGCTTATTATTCCACAAGATAAGAAGCAATAAGTAATGCAACAATTAAACTTCATCTTTCATTTTCATTGTAAAATGTAAGATGTAGTTTCTCATATAGAATTTCATAAGTGATATGTACTTTTTATTTTGTTCTGTCCGGAGACTTACATGCACATTTGTCACAATATACAACCAAGTATACTTCTACACATGGCATAGATTTTGAGCTATCAAAGAATTAAGTCATCAAAAACATATATTCACATATAATTTTGAGCAAAATAAGTACTTTTGAGCAATAAGCAATAAGAAATTAACAAATTACAGATTCATAAGTAATTTGGACTTTTTTGTTATGTCCAGAGACATACGGAGTATATTCACATTTGTCACAATATACAACCAAGTATACTTTTATAGATGTCATAGATTTTGAGCTCTCAAAGCATTAAGGCATTAGATATAGATTTTGAGCACTGCACAAATTCACTACATAATTCATTTCATGCACAAACATATAGTCATGGTAATAAATTAATCAGTCCAGATATTAACCAAATAGTGTATCAAGTTTATCGCAGAAGACAATTTCAGCAACATACCTCTTGGTAAAGTTAGAACCTAGCTGAAACAAAAATTCTCTAGAGCTAGCCTGCTTGTGTGTCCAGTAAATCCGTACTTCAAAGTTCTCAAAAGAAGCCTTTACAGATCAATTTAACGAAAATTAGCCTCAGTTCAAGTTCATACTAAACACAATCTTGGTTTACCGAATATATGGAATTGAAACAATAAAATGAAATACCTGACCGGAAATCTGGATTGGGTTACCCTGTAATATCAGCTTCAGTTGATAAATTCAACCATCATGTAAAGTCTGTAAATGAACATTGAAATACCCTGTAATAATGAGTGAGTGTATACGAACACAATATACTACATATCAAAACTAGTGGACTTCAATCTTATTCATAAAATTTTGTCTTACTACAATTAAAGATAATGACTTGAGCACATCATATGTCTTTCCTTGGAGAAGAAACAGAATCAAGTTTACACTTTATGAGACAAGATTTTATTATTATTTTTTAGTGTATAAGCTGATAAGCACCACAGATGTAAGTCATCTATGTCCTTAGACAGAAGAACAATATCAATTCCTAAGATCGAATATTATAACTGAAGGAAGAATTATAACAAACATATATTAACCTATGAAAATATAATACACAGTTTATTACTCCCTATAAAGTAAAGGGGCCTTCATGTTTTCTGACTCCAGTTGATTAAAGACAAAGACCTACTCCAGATAGGTTGAGGAGGCATAAGTTAATGATGATTGTCACGCCCCAGACCGCAATCCAAGCACGTGTACAACCGCCGTATAACTAAGTGACGTCACCCACGGGTCAACCTCACTTAATTACACAAGGCGTTCGAGAAAACAATTCATCCATACTCAGTAGTAAACATACATAACAACATCACATTTAAACCAATGAATAGCGGAAATATTCAACGGTAAGTCATAAGCCACAACCGGCCAACAACATGGGCATGCAAGCCCAAAAAGTGTTTATAGTAAAACAAATATCCATGAGCAAGTGTTCGGTAGTTTGAAAGAAAATAAGGAAGCACGAACCACGTCTTCCTGATGTGATATCACCCGTGAGAAGGTGCAAGTAGCAAGCTCTAGCTTCAACCTGAAAATGGTGGGGCCCCCGAAGGGGTCAGTACAAGTACCGAGCGAGTAGCAGGCTAAATATAGAATAACTAGCGTTTCAAGTATAAGACCCAAACATAGGGTGATACTTAAATCAATAATCTTTCCCCCAAGTGATGAAATACTTATTAGTATATATATACTTGGAAAATATCCGATCCGTAGATCACCATTTTATTCGGAAAAATAGTAATAGTCAATATTCTTGACTAAAAACCCCAACCCACCCATATACCTATGAGTGTATAGGACTCCTCCTTGTCCCTACTTGTATATCACAATCTATGAGTTTTAGGATCATAATCCTTGGATACTCCACCGGTTTGTGAGTGTTAAGGACTCATAAGTCCTAGGGTCCTCCACCAAGTTTTGAGTGTTAAGTACTTTTAAGTACTAGGGTCCTCCACCAAGTTTGAGTGTTAAGGACTTTTAAGTCCTAGGGTCCTCCACCAAGTTTTGAGTGTTAAGTACTTTTAAGTACTAGGGTCCTCCACCAAGTTTGAGTGTTAAGGACTTTAAGTCCTAGGGTCCTCCACCAAGTTTGAGTGTTAAGTACTTTTTAAGTACTAGGGTCCTCCACCAAGTTTGAGTGTTAAGTACTTTTTAAGTACTAGGGTCCTCCACCAAGTTTTCCTATGATCAACCTCCTATCAACCTAGATAGAGTCTATATCATCCTTAGTTACTCATAACTAATCCAATACATAAATCTTATGTATCACAATCCATGCAAAGCCATGCATTTAAATAAATGTATAATTAACTAACATCAACCGATATTAATTAATCCATCATCCATCGGTCAACGTTGTCGTTGACCGCCAATTCAAGCCTTGTACATATCAACTTAATCATCATATAATTAAGTCAATAATACTCATTTGAGCTTCTTTTACACTTCAAGCTAATGTGCATTTTATATAATCTCTCATATCATATTTCATGCATAATCAATTAATTCTTTTCATACAACTTGATAATGTTGGCTAATCACATGTTTAAATATCTTTTAAACATCATTATGAAAACATATAACGTTTATTTAGGTAATCTCATAATTAACCCAAAAGTTATAAGATATTAAGCCGTCCACTCACCTTGAACTAGCGTTATGAAGTTCTACCCCTCTTGGTTGAACTCCGGTGAAACTCCGGCGACTTTCGGTCAACTCCGGCGACAACTCCGGCGACTTTACCAACTTTGTGAAATCACTTGAAATACCTTTCACAAGTCCCTAACAAGGTTTTATAATCATAAAACCCATATTAATACAAATAACCTCAAAAAGGTTATTTTCCGGTGAACCGGTCGTTTTGGCCTCTAAGCCCGTCCTTGGACATAGAGCCACTTTCCATCCCATAAATCCATACTTATAACATGTAGAACTCTCTTAAGGGTTCTCCTCATGACATGTATCTCATATGGTAGAAGAAAAATAAAGAAAAGTTATAATAAGGTCATTACCTTAATTATTTCACACTTTTAGCACTTTAGCTCCTTTTTGGGTGATTCCTCTTTGATGAGCTTTCTTCAACAATGGAGGAAGGAGGTTGGGTGGATTTTCTTGCTCTCCCTGGTTCTCCTTGGCCGAAAATGAGGGAGGGGAAGGGGGTGAGGTATACTCATTTGTCTCATAGAGCAAATGAGTGTGGATGGGGCCACCTCCTCTTTGTTTGATGCTAAAAGGATCACATCACCATCCCCCCATGTTTCTCCTCTCTATGCCAACCGACCCAGCCCTCAATTTGAGTGGCAAAAATCGTGGGTTGGCCCCCACTCATGTGGGAGGTCAACCCTTTTTGTCCCGAAGTGTACAATTTGTCCCGAAAGTTGTATTTTTCGGACTGCTTTAAATATATTTTATTTTATCGGTTCAAATAAAATATATTATGTGCTCTTACTCATTATGACATGTATAGTGAATGTACATTCCCCAACTTTAATTTATAAGCCTCCGAAATTCATTTTCGGGCTGTTATCTGTTAAATTGTCGGTACCGGTAATTGGGTCTCTTTTTCCCCAATCGGTCAACTCTGCGCCTTTCCACGACTCAAACGAAATGTCCACCACTATATAAATATTATCTTGACCAAGATGAATAAAATATGTGGTCTCGGGAGTGTCGGGTGGCCCCCGCTCCCGGTGTGGGCCCCACGTGCAATTTACTATTCACGCGAAAGAGTAATAAAAATTTACAACTTCGTAAATTCGTAAATCATTCCATAAGGTTTATTACATCATTTACTTGAAAGTAAATACATTTGGGGACGGTGTTACAAGTTCACCCCCCCTTATTTGGGATTTCGTCCCCGAAATCCGTGTGTCTAATCGAAAAGAAGCGGGTATTGCTCCCTCATTGAGACTTCGGTCTCCCAAGTTTCTTCTTCGACTCGATCACTCCGCCAAAGAACCTTTACCATAGGAATCTCCTTATTCCTAAGCTTCTTCACTTGTTGACCTACTATCTTCACCGGCTCTACCGCATATTGCAAATCCTCACGGATCTCTACCGGTGGTTTCTCAAGAATATGAGATGGGTCTCGTATGTACTTCTTGAGCATCGATACATGAAACACGTCATGTATCTTCTCAAGCTCTGGTGTCAACTTGAGACGATAAGCCACAGCTCCAATCCTTTCAAGGATTTCAAATGGACCAATGTATCGGGGATTAAGCTTCCCCCTCGATACAAATCGGATGATGCCCTTCCAAGGAGAAATCCTTAGAAAAACCTCATCACCGACCTCGAACTCCAACGGTCTCCGCCGTTTGTCAGCATAACTCTTCTGTCGGTCCTGAGCGGCCTTCAGTCTATCCCGAATGATCCTTACCTTGGCCTTGGTGATCTCAACCAGTTCTATCCCTTCGAGTTTGGCCTCGCCAACCTCGTCCCAACACAACGGTGTTCTGCATTTCCTCCCATACAATGCTTCATATGGAGGCATGCCGATACTTGCTTGATAACTGTTGTTATAAGCAAACTCCACTAGAGCCAAATGCTTGTCCCAACTTTCTTGGAACTCCAAAGCACATGCCCTAAGCATGTCTTCCAGAATCTGTATCACCCGCTCGGACTGTCCATCCGTCTGTGGGTGAAAAGCTGTGCTAAACTTCAGTTTAGTCCCCAAAGATGCTTGAAACTTTGGCCAAAATCGGGATGTGAATCGTGGATCCCTATCCGAGACAATGGATATTGGGACTCCATGCAATCTCACGATCTCCTCCGTGTATAGCTTGGCCAATCTTTCAAGGGGATAAGTAATGTTGATAGGCAGAAAGTGTGCACTCTTGGTGAGCCTATCAACCACTACCCATACTGCATCGTAGTTGTTCACTGTTCGTGGCAGCCCCACCACGAAGTCCATGGTCACATGTTCCCACTTCCACTCTGGGATGGTGAGTGGTTGTAAGAGCCCTGCTGGGTGCTGATGCTCTACCTTAACTTGCTGGCAAGTAAGGCATCGACTCACAAACTCTGCAATATCCTTCTTCATGCCTGACCACCAGTAACTTTCCTTCAGATCTCGGTACATCTTAGTACCCCCTGGATGCATGGCATATGCTGAAGAATGAGCCTCCTCAAGTATAGCTCTCTGGAGCTCCTCATTCTTTGGTATGCACACACGATCCTTAAATAATAAAAGACCGTCATCACGTACCCGAAAATTCTCGACGGGCCCCTCAAGGATCCGTTCGCGGATTTTCTGACATTCTTCATCAATGGCCTGACTTCGACTAATCTCGCCCAATAGGGTGGGCCTAACCTCGAATCGAGCAATGAGAGCCCCGCACGTGGACACCTCCACGCGCGCCCTCAATGCCTGTAGGCATGTGAGTAGCGTCCCCGACGTACTCTTTCTGCTCAGTGCGTCGGCCACGACGTTGGCCTTTCCTGGATGGTAATCGATGATCAAGTCATAGTCCTTGATCAACTCCATCCATCTCCTTTGCCTCATATTCAACTCTTTCTGAGTGAATACGTACTTCAAGCTCTTATGGTCTGTAAAAATGTGACATGTCTCCCCGTAGAGATAATGCCTCCAGATTTTCAGTGCAAACACTACCGCCCCTAATTCTAGATCATGGGTAGGGTAGTTCACCTCGTGCTTCCTCAATTGCCTTGAAGCATAGGCAATCACTTTACCGTTTTGCATCAGTACACATCCAAGTCCTTGGATGCTAGCATCACTGTAGATATCATACCCTATCCCCTGTATGGGTAGGGCTAGGACTGGTGCTTCGGTAAGTCGTCTCTTCAGTTCAAGGAACCCTTTCTCACACTTGTCGTCCCATACAAACTTGGCCCCTTTCTTTGTGAGCTTCGTTAATGGGGACGCCAATACGGAGAATTTCTCAACAAATTTACGATAGTATCCCGCTAGGCCAAGGAAACTACGTATCTCTTTCACATTCTTGGGTCTCTCCCAATCCATGATAGCTTTTATCTTGGCGTTATCCACAGCTACGCCCGAACCGGATATGACGTGACCAAGAAAACCAATCTCCTTGAGCCAAAATTCGCATTTAGAGAACTTGGCAAAGAGTTGCTTTTCCCTTAGCCGATCAAGTATAAGCCTCAAATGATGTTCGTGCTCCTCCTCGCTCTTGGAGTATATCAAGATATCATCAATGAATACTATTACAAATTGATCTAAGTATTCACTAAACACCCGGTTCATCAAGTCCATGAATGCCGCCGGTGCGTTGGTTAAACCAAATGACATCACAAGGAACTCGTAATGACCATACCTAGTACGGAATGCACTTTTAGGTATGTCGCTTTCCTTGATCTTCAACTGATGATACCCCGACCTCAAATCAATCTTCGAGAACACTATTGCCCCCCGAAGTTGATCAAACAAGTCATCAATCCTCGGTAAGGGATACCTGTTCTTGATTGTGACCTTGTTCAACTGTCGGTAGTCAATACACATTCTTAGTGTACCATCTTTCTTTTTTACGAAGAGTACGGGTGCTCCCCACGGTGAATGACTGGGTCTGATGAATCCGTTGTCCAGTAATTCTTGTAGTTGGACCTTCAACTCTTGGAGTTCGGCCGGCGCCATTCGATAAGGAGGAATCGAAATGGGTTTGGTTCCCGGCTCCACTTCAATTACAAACTCTATCTCTCTATCGGGTGGAAGCCCCGGTAGGTCTTTGGGAAAGACATCCGGGTATTTGCACACGACCCGTACATCTTTGATGTCGACTTCCTTCTTGGTATCGTCCACCACGTAGGCAAGGTATGCGTGGCATCCCTTCCTCATCATCTTCCGTGCTCTCATCACGGATATTATACAAGCATTAGATTTCCCCCGATCTCCCTCGAAACATAGTGTGTTTCCTTGATCATCCTCGAGCTCTAACACCTTGGTGTAGCAATCTACTCGAGCATGGTGTTTCTCGAGCCAATCCATTCCTAGGATTGCATCGAACTCCAACATGCTTAGAGGTACGAAATCACAAGTCAAAGGTTGACCCGTCACTTCTACCTCGCACGACGGATAGTAATGATTTCTCTCCACGTCGTCTCCTAACGGTGTGGAAACTAGCAATGTTTGCGTCATAGGTGTCAATGGCACGTCAAGGCCCTCGGCGAACGCCTCACTCACAAATGAGCGTTGTGCCCCGGTATCGATGAGGATCCTCGCACACCTACCATTGATCTTTAATGTTCCTACATTTATACACCATGTAAGATACATTTTCTAATGTTTTTACACATTTTTTTAGGAGGTTATTAGGCTCATACTAATGTTTGGAATCAAACGGGGGTCCAAACGTAGAAGAACGGGGCGAAAAAATCAAGTTTCGGGTGCCTGGGGTCCACGCACGGCGTGCCTGGGTGGCACGCACGGTCGTGCGTGCGTGAGAAACTCGGAATCCGCCACTGCCGGCTACGCACGATCGTGCGTAGCTGGTCACGCACGATCGTGCGTCCCAGGCACGGCGTGCCTGTCCTGCACGCACGGCGTGCGTCTGCGCGGAAAACGGCCAGAGGCTACTGCCTCGCACGCACGGTCGTGCGTCTGTAGGTACGCGCGATCGCGCGTAGTTGTTTTTAGCCCGTTTCGCCCCGAATTCGCGGGGTTTGACCCTGGGGTGGCCCGCACCCAAACCCAATGACTCATATGACCCAAATAAGCCTAGAAATATAGGAAAATAAGTGTATTACCTGCAACGGAGTCCGGGTTTGCTCGCGCGTCCGCCTCGGTCATTGCGTACACTCGTGCTTGGGTCCCGCCTTGGTTGACCGATGCGGCATGGCTTGTGGATGCACCGCCTCTTCCCGTACCGCCGTTTGACGGTCCCGCACGGTTTCTTCCCGTCATGGTTCCTCCTCCGGATCCCGAAGCTCCTCCTCCCCCTAATTTTGGGCAATTGGCCTTCATGTGACCCGTGTTCCCGCATTGATAACACCTTGGGGGTGCATTGCACTTCCCAAAATGATTTTTCGAACAATTGGCACACTTTGGAGGCCCCGTCCTTTGTGAGGAGGATGCATGCCACCGAGCATCCCTGTTCTTCTTTGCCGGTGGTGCCGGTGTCTTGAACGAACCGCCACCTCCACCGTGCTTATCCTTCCGTGCTTGCTCGGGCGGCCCCGAACTTTGCCATTTCCTCTTTTTCGCCTCCTCGGCGTCTCTCTCTTTTCTCTCATTCCATTGGGCCTCCCCGAGAAGGCCCTGCTCCACCACCTCACTGAAGGTCATGTGGCGCGAGTACGTAGCTCGGTCACGGATGTCCAAGAGTAGGGCATCCCAAAAGTGCTCCGTCATGCGGTTCTCATCAACCGCGTACTCCGGCAAGAACCTAGCCAAGGTTCTAAACTCTTGTTCCAGTTGCTTAACTGTGCCGCCCTCTTTCTGTTTGAGGTTAGTGTACTCTCTCCGTTTCACATTCACCTCGTACTCGGAGTAGTATTGAGCATAGAACTCTAGTTCGAAGTCCGCCCATGTTATTTCCCCATGGTACTTCCCTTCCACGCTCTCCCACCACGTAGAAGCTATCCCTTCAAGTAGCCGTGAAGCGACAGTCAACTTCACGTCCGGTGTGATTTGCATGTCTCTTGATGCATCCTTCACCTTCTTAATCCAATCGGCGGCAACGGTAATGTCACCGGTGCCGTCAAAGGACCTACACCCCAAGGCCCTAGCCTCCTTGAGGTACTTGGAGATTCTCACAACAAAACCTCCTTCACGCCCACCATGTGACGCCGCTGGGGTGGCCACGGAAGCTCCCCGGCTCCCTTGACCCGAACCACCACGAGAGCCACGCCTCGCTTGGCGCCTAAGGTCTCTCCTCAGTTTCTCTTTTTGATACCACTCAAGTAATTCACCCATTTGGGCGAACCGGGCATCACTCTCATCGTCATCATCGGTGTATGTGTCCCCCCCATCATACGGGGTCTCCTCATGCTCCGTTTCTGGAACGTAGGTTGAGTCATAGTCCTCGGTGTTGGTTTCATACACCGAGCTTACATGGCCATCACTCACAGATTGAGCTTGATGACCTCCACGGCTTCCACGGCCTCCACGGCCTCCCCTTGAACCCCGAGATGCAGCCCGGCTTCCCCTTTGGGATGTTACCGGCGCTTGCCCTCTCGGGTTGTTCCTGGTCCGCATTCGCCTGCCCTCCATTTCTGAAAGAAATATGGATGAGTCATTAGACTCCTATAAATGTCAATTGACGGAAGAACGTTACAGACACATATTGGCCCAAGTCACTACCATACCAATTGTTAAGGGTACCATCTTAACAATTAGAGGCCTTGCAACTTAAGCACCAATAGTCCTATAAACGTCAAAATACAATGCTCATGGTTTTCGGTAGAAACTCTTTTTGTAAAATCTTTTGTGAGAGGTTGATTATATAGTTTAGAACTGAGATGGCTCTGATACCACTTAATTGTCACGCCCCAGACCGCAATCCAAGCACGTGTACAACCGCCGTATAACTAAGTGACGTCACCCACGGGTCAACCTCACTTAATTACACAAGGCGTTCGAGAAAACAATTCATCCATACTCAGTAGTAAACATACATAACAACATCACATTTAAACCAATGAATAGCGGAAATATTCAACGGTAAGTCATAAGCCACAACCGGCCAACAACATGGGCATGCAAGCCCAAAAAGTGTTTATAGTAAAACAAATATCCATGAGCAAGTGTTCGGTAGTTTGAAAGAAAATAAGGAAGCACGAACCACGTCTTCCTGATGTGATATCACCCGTGAGAAGGTGCAAGTAGCAAGCTCTAGCTTCAACCTGAAAATGGTGGGGCCCCCGAAGGGGTCAGTACAAGTACCGAGCGAGTAGCAGGCTAAATATAGAATAACTAGCGTTTCAAGTATAAGACCCAAACATAGGGTGATACTTAAATCAATAATCTTTCCCCCAAGTGATGAAATACTTATTAGTATATATATACTTGGAAAATATCCGATCCGTAGATCACCATTTTATTCGGAAAAATAGTAATAGTCAATATTCTTGACTAAAAACCCCAACCCACCCATATACCTATGAGTGTATAGGACTCCTCCTTGTCCCTACTTGTATATCACAATCTATGAGTTTTAGGATCATAATCCTTGGATACTCCACCGGTTTGTGAGTGTTAAGGACTCATAAGTCCTAGGGTCCTCCACCAAGTTTTGAGTGTTAAGTACTTTTAAGTACTAGGGTCCTCCACCAAGTTTGAGTGTTAAGGACTTTTAAGTCCTAGGGTCCTCCACCAAGTTTTGAGTGTTAAGTACTTTTAAGTACTAGGGTCCTCCACCAAGTTTGAGTGTTAAGGACTTTAAGTCCTAGGGTCCTCCACCAAGTTTGAGTGTTAAGTACTTTTTAAGTACTAGGGTCCTCCACCAAGTTTGAGTGTTAAGTACTTTTTAAGTACTAGGGTCCTCCACCAAGTTTTCCTATGATCAACCTCCTATCAACCTAGATAGAGTCTATATCATCCTTAGTTACTCATAACTAATCCAATACATAAATCTTATGTATCACAATCCATGCAAAGCCATGCATTTAAATAAATGTATAATTAACTAACATCAACCGATATTAATTAATCCATCATCCATCGGTCAACGTTGTCGTTGACCGCCAATTCAAGCCTTGTACATATCAACTTAATCATCATATAATTAAGTCAATAATACTCATTTGAGCTTCTTTTACACTTCAAGCTAATGTGCATTTTATATAATCTCTCATATCATATTTCATGCATAATCAATTAATTCTTTTCATACAACTTGATAATGTTGGCTAATCACATGTTTAAATATCTTTTAAACATCATTATGAAAACATATAACGTTTATTTAGGTAATCTCATAATTAACCCAAAAGTTATAAGATATTAAGCCGTCCACTCACCTTGAACTAGCGTTATGAAGTTCTACCCCTCTTGGTTGAACTCCGGTGAAACTCCGGCGACTTTCGGTCAACTCCGGCGACAACTCCGGCGACTTTACCAACTTTGTGAAATCACTTGAAATACCTTTCACAAGTCCCTAACAAGGTTTTATAATCATAAAACCCATATTAATACAAATAACCTCAAAAAGGTTATTTTCCGGTGAACCGGTCGTTTTGGCCTCTAAGCCCGTCCTTGGACATAGAGCCACTTTCCATCCCATAAATCCATACTTATAACATGTAGAACTCTCTTAAGGGTTCTCCTCATGACATGTATCTCATATGGTAGAAGAAAAATAAAGAAAAGTTATAATAAGGTCATTACCTTAATTATTTCACACTTTTAGCACTTTAGCTCCTTTTTGGGTGATTCCTCTTTGATGAGCTTTCTTCAACAATGGAGGAAGGAGGTTGGGTGGATTTTCTTGCTCTCCCTGGTTCTCCTTGGCCGAAAATGAGGGAGGGGAAGGGGGTGAGGTATACTCATTTGTCTCATAGAGCAAATGAGTGTGGATGGGGCCACCTCCTCTTTGTTTGATGCTAAAAGGATCACATCACCATCCCCCCATGTTTCTCCTCTCTATGCCAACCGACCCAGCCCTCAATTTGAGTGGCAAAAATCGTGGGTTGGCCCCCACTCATGTGGGAGGTCAACCCTTTTTGTCCCGAAGTGTACAATTTGTCCCGAAAGTTGTATTTTTCGGACTGCTTTAAATATATTTTATTTTATCGGTTCAAATAAAATATATTATGTGCTCTTACTCATTATGACATGTATAGTGAATGTACATTCCCCAACTTTAATTTATAAGCCTCCGAAATTCATTTTCGGGCTGTTATCTGTTAAATTGTCGGTACCGGTAATTGGGTCTCTTTTTCCCCAATCGGTCAACTCTGCGCCTTTCCACGACTCAAACGAAATGTCCACCACTATATAAATATTATCTTGACCAAGATGAATAAAATATGTGGTCTCGGGAGTGTCGGGTGGCCCCCGCTCCCGGTGTGGGCCCCACGTGCAATTTACTATTCACGCGAAAGAGTAATAAAAATTTACAACTTCGTAAATTCGTAAATCATTCCATAAGGTTTATTACATCATTTACTTGAAAGTAAATACATTTGGGGACGGTGTTACAATGATGGCATCGAATGCCTCCCTTCAAGGAAAGAAAAAGCTCTTGTCGCAATTATTGAATCAATCGTGAACCAGTACGCTGCTTGAAAAAAGCTCTAAGTCTTGACGCGCTCTTGAAATGGTATTACCACTGCTAGAAAGCTAACTGAATATAATAACAATAAGTTCTATTCCCTTATTCTTCATATAGTTTCCCATAAAGATATTACAAACAAGTTAAATATGATGCATTTAGTTAACTAAACAATCAAGTTGTAAACATATAAATGTGATTTCATGATTTTTAAGAGCTGTAATTTGCTAAAATGAAAAAAAAGTGTGTTAACCAGATAAGACTTATTTTTGGGTTGGGTGGGTGTTCTTAATCACCATGACTATCACAATGGAATTGATTAGAAACAGATGAAAGGAAGCTAAGATCATTTAACGTGTTAACCACCAACCAAGTAAAAAGAGTTCTTGCTCAAAATTTTTCATATCAAGCAAATGATTGAAGAATAATGCCACAAATACTATACCAACAGGCAACAAGGACTTTGTCACTGATGATGAATTATAAAAGAAATAAGGCATGATATGCATTCTTAAGAAAAACTCTGGAACACAAGAAATTATTTTGAAAGTAAATATACAGAAGAGCTTTAGTAATTCAAGATTGGTTAGCAATACGGAGTAAAAAACCAAATCTGAATTATCAGGAAAACAATCGGCAAAGGTAGAGAGCGGATTTAAACCTTTGGGCCATTGTTCAATTATTTTTGTTTTCAGAGATTCAACAGTGTTACTGGACTTGTACAATCAGAGCCATCGGTGAGTCTGAATTTTTAAAATGGAAATAAAAACGATAGATGGAATCGGAAATTAAACTCTGTATATACCTATTTTAGTCGGAACGATGATGGTTGAACGAGGACAGGGAGCTTCTACTTTGCGAGGGACGCGAGCTCAAAGAGATGGCCGGCTGAAGGGAAACATGGTGTCACGAGCTCAAACGGTTCGAAGTTGACTATCGTCTGCTGGCGCAAGTCGTCGAAGTCGTCGAAGGTGGCCACCGATGTCTGGTAAGAATGTGGATCGATGAGCTAGCTAGGGTATGTGTGGCAGTGTGGATCGATATGTTAGCTAGGGTATGTGTATTGGATCGGATGGGGTTTGGAATTTTAGGGCCTGATAGATATGGGGTTAGGCAGATCTGTTTTGGGGGGAAATGAAATGTTTTGGGGGGGATAAAAATTGTGGAGGGGAATTTATGTTTAGGAGGGAAGAATAATAGTGTCCAAAAAATTAAATAAAATGTTAAATTTATATTTTAGTGTCATTGACATTTGTTGATGTCATAGTATCACATATTAATGACACTTATATGTCATAAACAAGTTCAGTCGTATACCAGTGACACTTATGAAAAAAGTGTCACGAAAAAAGTGTCACTGTAAGACAGTTTTTTACTAGTGGTTTCATAAAATTTGCCATGGAATGTAATTTGTTTTCAAATGATGTTTATGTTGCGTGTTACTTACTCTTTTGCGGGCTATAAAAAATAATGTATTACTCTGTAATAATTAGTAAATTGTAATTTATATGTTTCATTTACGTCATGTTTTATTATTGTATGGAGTATAATTCTAAACAATTCAATTAAAATTACAAGTTTGTTTATTTTTTAATTAAAATGTTGGCTAATGTTAATTATACCCGCGGAATTTCACCAATCGTGCATCGCACGGGTATTGATGAAGAAGAAGGAACCACTGAACAAGACTCAGAATGTTGTATTCAAAAAGTATTCAACAATGTTTATGATTACATGAAATGTATATTTACAATATTATGATTTCTAAGTATTTGTTGGATGTTTTTGATCTTTTAAATAATGCTTAGTGCTCTCTTTTTAACTATAATATATATTTTAAGTGTGTTTTGTTTAATGGTTCAAGTTATATCAATATTCCATGGAGATAGATACTCTCATCAATTGATAGTATAATTTGAATTAGTGAACACAAACAAATTTGAAGAAAATTCTCAGACCGTGCATCGCACGGGTGAGTTTACTAGTTGATAGAATAACTCAGAATTACAATCGGAATTAAGAAAACAGGCAATCTGAGGCGGCGCCTCAAGGCACAAAAGCCCCCCTTGAGAATGATTCTTTGCTAATTGAGCTAATTCATGTGCTACTCTGTTCCTCTCCCTCGTAATTGTGCTGAACTGAACCTCTGGGAAACACAACGCCCTCTTTGACCTCCTGGATTATCATTTCAAATCTGGAAGCATCCCTAAGAGTGTTTGCAAAGCGGGATAAAAGTGCTGCACAGTCACCTTCAATAATGAGAGGCATATTAACCCACGTCTTGGCAGCCCGTACACCTTCAGCACAAGCTAAAGCTTCAGCCTCCATTGGTTCAACACAATTGGGAAGCCTCCAAGTAGATAACAAGACTTCGCCTCTACAGTTGCGAATGATGCAACCCTCCGTGCAATTCTGCTCCCAAGTACTTCACTGGCATTGCGGTTTTCCGCATATACCAAGCAAATCCTTGATATTCTAGATTTTGTAGTTGGCATGTTTACCACATACGAAGTGGCTTTTGTCGTAGTTAACTGTTGGCCCAGAAGAGTCTTGGTAAAGGGTGTTGAGTAATGATCAAGCTCTGCATATGAAGCTGCAGGGAACTGCATAGGAGGCCACGGATGGATGCCTACTTGGATCAAGTTTAAATAATATGTTATTGTTCATTTATTAGTGTATTAGTGCATAAGTTATTTATATGCGTTGCTATTTGTTTGAACTAGTCCTAAGGTTGTTGGCTACTATCTTGGAGCAGTTTTGCACGTTAGAATGTGGCTGAACTTTAGGAGTTAGTTGCCTTGTTTATGTGGCTATTATTCAATGTAAAATGGCTATATAAAGCCCTTTGTTATTCCAATAAAAGTATGAGTTTCTCTGCCCTCTTTGAGTTCGTGTATTTATCAACATAAGAGTGTCTTTAGCAAGAAAAGCTAACATTTGGTATCAGAGCGTTCAGGCGATTCTTGGCCTGGTGAGAGTGTGTTTCTTGTGAGTAATCAGTAAGTGATTATCATAAAGCAAACAAGATAAAGAGGGTCAGTAAAACACATCAAAATGCAAAGCAATGGCAATGGAAACTCCTTGAATCAACTTCTTGTATTCAAGGGTGTCAACTACCACTTTTGGAGCCTGAAAATGAAAACACTTTTCAGATCTCAAGAACTGTGGCAGATTGTTGACGAAGGATTTGTTGATAATCAACAAGAAGATGCAGATCAAGCACTCAGGGAAAGAAGAAAAAAGGATGCAAAGGCCCTTTATCTCATTCAACAAGCTTTGGATGATGAGATTTTTCCTAGGATTGCAGCAGCCTCTACTTCTAAAGAAGCATGGGCTACTCTGAAGCAAGAATACCTTGGCGACAAAAAGGTGATCATGGTACGGCTACAATCTCTCAGGAGGGAATTTGAGACAGCCAAAATGAAGGACAAAGAGCCTGTCCAAGATTATTTATCCAGAATAACCTCAATTGTCCAAACCATGAAGACTTATGGTGAAGAAGTTCCCTCCAAACAGGTAGTGAGTAAAGTCATGCGTAGTCTCACATCAAAGTTTGGTCAGTTGGTTACAGCCATTGAGGAAGCTAAGGATATGGAGACCTATACATTTGATGAACTGAAAGGGTCTCTTCAAGCCTTTGAAGAGAGACAGAATGGGATGGAAGATTCCAATGAAGAAAAAGCTTTTCAGGCCAAAGGAGAAACCCCACAAGGAAATCCATTTGGTGGACAAGGAAGAGGAAGAGGAGGCTTTAGAGGTGGATACAGAGGTAGAGGCAGAGGAAGACATCAATCAAATCATGACAGGTTTGACTATACAAAGAACACTTACAAACCATCTATTAAGTGTTACTATTGTAATAAACCTGGTCATAAAGAGGCTGAATGCTGGAAGAAGCATGGAAAACCAACTTCCAGTGAGACTGAGCAAAGGTCTAATTATGTTGAACAAGAGCAATTATTTCTTGCTCAACACAATTATGATCAAACTGAAGCTATAACATGGTATGTTGATAGTGGTTGCTCAAACCATATGACTGGGACAAAAGGCATGTTTCAAGACATTGATGACACCAAAAAGGGTGTTGTTAGCCTTGGTGATGGGAAGCAATTGACAGTAGAAGGGCTAGGAACCATCCTAGTTCACTCTGACCAAGGAAAAAGGAAGACCATATCAAATGTGCAGTATGTGCCTCAGCTTGCTCATAACTTGTTAAGTGTAGGGCAATTGGTGAATGGAGGATACTCAGTAACATTTGAGGGAGGAATGTGTACCATCAAAGATACACATTCAAATGAGAACTTGCTAAGAGCCAGAATGGGAAAGAACAAGTTATTCCCTCTTGATTTATCTCATGAAAGTCATAAAGCCTTGGTTGTAAAAGGTGAAGAAAATGCCAAACTGTGGCATTTGCGATATGGACATCTAAACATCAATAGTCTGAGACTGCTTAGTTGCAGGGGCTTTGTAAAAGGTCTACCCAACATTGGAGAACTAGATCTGTGTGAAGGATGCATCTATGGCAAGCAAACCAGAAGATCATTTCCAATTGGAGGCTCATGGAGGGCAATTGACTGTCTAGAACTTCTTCATGCTGATTTGTGTGGCCCCATGGACATAGAGTCATTAGGTGGTAGCAGGTATTTCCTCATGATCACTGATGACTTTAGCAGAATGTCATGGATTTATTTTCAAAAGCAAAAATCAGAAGCTCTTGAAAATTTCAAAAGATTTAAAGCTTTAGTTGAGAAGCAAAGTGGTAAGTTTGTCAAGGCACTAAGAACTGATAGAGGAGGAGAGTTCAGTTCTAATGCCTTTGTACAATTCTGTGATGAACAAGGAATAAGAAGAGAGTTCACAGCACCCTACACTCCAGAACAGAATGGAGTGGCTGAGAGGAAGAACAGGACAGTAGTTGAAATGGCTAGAAGCATGCTGAAAGCCAAGGGTCTACCAAACAAGTTTTGGGGAGAAGCTGTGTCCACTGCAGTGTACATTCTCAACATTTCACCAACAAGAGCAGTGCCCAACTCCACTCCATTTGAAGTTTGGAGGATGAAGAAACCTTCAGTAGGTCATATGAAAATCTTTGGGTGTATTGCATATACACTTGTGAATCTGAGAGGCAAGCTAGATGATAAAGCACAAAAATGCATCTTTATAGGCTACTCTACTCAGTCTAAGGCCTATAGGTTGTATAATCCTCTTACTGACAAAATCATTGTCAGTAGGAATGTTATTTTTGATGAAGATGCAACATGGAATTGGCAGGCTACTACTCATAAAGAGAAAGAAATGCAAAAGCTTGTTGGTTTGGAAGACTCCACTGATCCTGACCAGACTCAGACCTCTTCAGCAAGTACTAGCACTCCATCTCACAATGAAGCAAACAATGATGACTCAGATACCTCTTCAAATGATTCCTCTAGTGAAAGGCCCAGAAAGGTAAGATCCCTTGTTGACATTTATGAATCTTGTGGTCTTGCTTTAATCATCACAGAACCCACAGATTATAATGAAGCTACAACTTATCCTGAATGGAACCAAGCAATGAAGGAAGAACTCCATGCAATTAATAGAAACAATACATGGGAACTAGTTGACTTACCTGCTGATAAGAATCTGATAGGACTAAAATGGGTCTACAGAACAAAATATCACTCTGATGGAAGCATATCTAAGCATAAGGCTCGTTTGGTGGCTAAAGGGTATGCTCAGCAGGAAGGAATTGATTATGAGGAAACTTTTTCCCCTGTGGCCAGATTTGAAACTATAAGGATTGTCCTGGCCTTGTCTGCTCAGTGGAGATTACCTGTGTACCAGTTGGATGTCAAATCAGCCTTTCTTAATGGTGAACTACTTGAGGAGGTGTTTGTGGAACAACCACCTGGCTTTGTGAAGAAAGGGGCAGAGGATAAAGTGTATAGACTTAAAAAGGCCCTGTATGGGCTAAAACAGGCCCCTAGAGCCTGGTATAGCAAAATTGATGCATTCTTTCTCTCCAGTGGGTTTCAGAGGAGTGAAAATGAACCAACTTTGTACATCAAGCAACAAGGTATGGATTTCCTTATATTATGTCTTTATGTGGATGATATAATATTTGTTAGTTCTTCACAAAGCATGCTAGAGTCTTTCAAAACTGCCATGACAAGTCAGTTTGAAATGACTGATTTGGGATTGCTTCACTACTTTCTTGGCTTGGAGATCATACAAGGAAAAGAAGGCACCTTTCTCCACCAAAAGAGGTATGCATCAAATTTACTTAAAAGGTTTCATGTTGAAGCTAGTGACACTGCAAAAACACCCATGAACACTAATGAGAAACTGCAAAAGAGTGATGGAACAGAAGAGGCAGATGCAAGGCTTTACAGAAGCATAGTAGGAGGGTTGAATTATTTGACTCATTCAAGACCTGACCTGGCTTATAGTGTTAGCATTATATCCAGATATATGCAGAATCCTACAAAACAGCATCTTGGTGCAGCAAGAAGAATCCTAAAGTATGTAGCTGGTACATTGGATTATGGGATTTGGTATTCATGTACAAAAGATCTCAAACTGAGAGGCTTTACTGATAGTGATTGGGCCGGGTGTGTTGATGATAGAAAAAGCACATCTGGTTCAGTTTTTGATCTTGGATCTGGAGCTATAACTTGGAGTTCAAAGAAGCAGGAGACAGTGGCATTATCATCCTCTGAAGCTGAGTACGTAGCTGCAGGAGCTGCAGCAAAACAAGCTATTTGGATAAGCAAGTTGTTGGTTGATTTGGGTTGCAAGGAAATTGAAACTCTTGAGCTATGGTGTGACAACAAATCTGCCATAGCTATGACAAAGAATCCAGCTTATCACTCGAGAACAAAGCACATAGATGTTCAATATCATTTTGTTAGGCAACTGGTGTCAAAGGGGCAGATTTCACTTCAGTTTTGTGGCACTCAATGGCAGAATGCTGATATCTTCACTAAAGCTTTAAACTATGAGAAGCACTGTCATTTTATGAAGAGAATTGGAGTGTGCAAGCTTGGATCAAGGGGTGGTGTTGAGTAATGATCAAGCTCTGCATATGAAGCTGCAGGGAACTGCATAGGAGGCCACGGATGGATGCCTACTTGGATCAAGTTTAAATAATATGTTATTGTTCATTTATTAGTGTATTAGTGCATAAGTTATTTATATGCGTTGCTATTTGTTTGAACTAGTCCTAAGGTTGTTGGCTACTATCTTGGAGCAGTTTTGCACGTTAGAATGTGGCTGAACTTTAGGAGTTAGTTGCCTTGTTTATGTGGCTATTATTCAATGTAAAATGGCTATATAAAGCCCTTTGTTATTCCAATAAAAGTATGAGTTTCTCTGCCCTCTTTGAGTTCGTGTATTTATCAACATAAGAGTGTCTTTAGCAAGAAAAGCTAACAAAGGGTAAGGAACTCCTGAAATTTGAGCAATGAATTGGATTCCCCATTAATAAATATTATTAAGTAGTCTGCAAAGCCAAGGTGTGAAACAGGATTGCCATAGTTTCCCAGCCAGTAGGGTTTAATTAAACCATTAGATATCTGAATCACTGAATGTTCAACCCTCTGGAAAATGCCTCTGTAGCTTGCTTACTTAGACCGGGTTGACCCGTTTTAGGTCATTGACCTGTATCTTTTGGAGGGAAGTTGGACATGTGTTCCCCGTCTCTTTGTATATAGGAAGATTATAGCCAAGAACATAACATACAGTTTGTTATTCATTGAAAGCATACATATTTGAATTTATGGGTAATCTACAGTTTGTCTATGTTTTCTTTTTATAATCCAAAATGGCAAAAATGGTCTGGAGGACGGTGAGAAGGAGAAGAAAAAAGGCAGCTAAGAGTGAGATGAGGGACCAAGGGGAGCTGAAATATTTGTGCTTGACCTCGGCCAAATAAATGTGCAAATTGTTGTCGTTGTAGTCGTTCACGCCACCATACACTTGCCACAAGTAGCTGGGGGGCCTGGGGCCTTGATAATTGGACAGCGCCGCCATGCGGAGCTTGCTCACAAAGGCAGCGACCGCACCTGCCGTCCCATAATGGTTTCGCAAGACCTTGGCCTCGCACAAAATAGCCACGTCCTCGCGGGTGAGTATGAGGCAGCTCAGAAACCGTGCGTATTCCGACATGAAACAGTTTACCATCTGCGGGTAGCAAACCTCGAACGCCACGCAGTTCTGCAAGATGTCGCACATGTTGTCGTCCAACACTAGCAGGGGCATCGAGATCACTCCCCGCTCGAATGTCACCTCCAGGAAACTACTCCTCTCAGCTTGCAGCTTCAGCTTGATTCCGGCTCGGCGCAGCTTCGAGATGCTCTGGATGCTCTCGAGGTCGTAAAAGTTGGTAACTTTGGATGCTGGGACTACACGCCCGACTAATAAATGTATTCCTAATAATTGCATTCCAGGAGGAAGGGAGAAACTTTTCCGGAGTAAATTGAGCAGATGCAGGACTTTAAAATCCCTCTCGAACACCCCCCGGGGCACATCCTCCGGGTGGCGGTAGAAGAAGTAGAGGGCCATGTTGGCCAGAGGATCGAGGCGGCCCTCGGGCAACCGATCGCTGTCTGTTTGAGTAAGTGTGAACAATGTCTGGAGCAGGATGTATGGTATTTGATTCTCCAGGCAGAAAAAGTCTTGCTGGAATCTACCACGTATGAGTTCCGCTATTGACGTCAATGGATGGTCTGTTCCAACTGCACAGCTATTTACCCGAAAGATTTCAAGCACAAAGCAGCCATCGAGAACCATCATCTCTACAAACTCATCGCTGCTGAGATTGATAGCCTCAGAATAGCATTCCCTGGCCTGTGCTTCTAATCCTCTCACAGCTTTTGTGTAGTGTGCCAAACCCACACCCTTTTCCTCTATCGTCCTCTGTATCAGTATCTCCAGGAACCTCCACTTGTACTCCTGCATCTCCTTCAGATGCGGCTTCCCGTGGTGGTATGGACCGATTGAGAATGCGCGAGGCTGATACGGACGCGCGTCCGCTTCCGAATTGGTGCCCAACAATTCCCGGGGTACCCGGAAAATCTCGCTTTTGAGACTGCCGCGGGCCAATTGGGTGAGTAATTTCGGCAATCCGGACAGCTTACTTTGCATCAGTTGGATGACTCGCATGTCTGGATCCACTTCCACATCCTTGCTTCTGATCAGCCCTTCACCCTCCTCATCATTTCCAGGTAGGATTCCATCAGAATGTACGCTCCTCATCAAACTATATTTGAACGGGCGAAGCAGCAAGCAATTAACGAAGCTGCTACTTGAAATAGTTTCAAAAATACTCAGCTCGATCCGAGATGAAAAAGGAAAGGAATTACTGTGAACAATAATCATCACCATACACAGTATATAGACACTTCCTTGGCTGTTTCCACGTCAAGTGTGGATGGCGGTTTTTTGTAACTTTGTGCTGGAAACAGGGACGGATCCAGGATTCTGAGTCAAGTGGGGCGAAATTTTTCGTTAGTGTAGGGGGTGATTTTTTTTTTGTTAATATAGCGGGGTGAATTTTTTTCCTCTAGTGTAGCGGGGCAAATTTTTTTCGTTACTGTGGGACTATGCGGCTATTTTTATTCAAAAAATGACATTAATACATGCACATCCTGAACGGCATTTAAATCTAATACATTTTAAGTTTAGACGATGACAAAGACATCAACCAATACATTTTTAATAACTTCTACATTGTTTAACCTCATAAATCGGTTATTGAATTGTAATTTTTGTCCACCAAGGAGGGTGTTCGTGAGTCATGACTCATGAGAAGTTTTCTTAATATTACAATAGTAGTATACTAGTATGTATGAGATTGTTATTTTTAGAATAATGTGCACCACATACACACAAACGTATATATGGCGCATATTATATTTTAATATTTTTATTAATTCTATAATAATTTAAAGTTTATTATCCATGCAATAAATTATTTTTAGAAACCAAGAAGTAAATGAATTATGTAATCTAATGTCTATAAATATTTATATTTTGGATTCATTTCATGTGATCTAAAAATTGTGTAATTAGTGTGTCTGGTATTTAATATTGTTTGATATATGTTTTACAAAATCCAGTACTTGTTATCTAATAAAGATAATTAAACATTACAAAACTAGGAATTCTTATATAATAAGTATCCTAAATCTTAAATAACGAGTTACTCTATTGTTTATTTGTTTAAGTTATGTAAATTATTTTAGATGTTTATTCTTTCAAATCTCCAATTAAGTATTACATTATGTAAGACCATATACTAACTTTGAAAATTAAAAGCTAAGGGGGGCGAATCTAATTAAATTATGAAAGTTTTATAAAAATATTACATATATGGTAAGAAAGTTTGAATGTCCAAGGGGGCGGTCGCCCCCGCGCCCCCCAAATCCATCCCTGGCTGGAAAGGCCTTGTGATTTGATTGAATAGTTGACTTCTTTCTCAATTATTTTCATTTGCTATTAGCCTTAAACAAAAAAAAGAAAAAGAGAAAGTTCCAAAATACAAAGTAACTCCGAGTCAGTTTGAAATTTTCGAAATAGTAGTGATATCTTTTTATTTTCAAAATAAGATTAATTATTGTAGAATTTGGAAAATAGTGTCATGTTTGAAGTTTGGTACTGTCAAAACATGACAATAATTAGTCCTTTTTTGAGAATAAAAACATAGCAGTCCTATTTTTGAAATTTTCAAACTTTTTCAGTCTTGTTTCGGGTGATGTAATCAAAAATAAAATTAGTAAGAATAATTCAATATGTACACGTTTCCTACACGGCAGTCTTTCTTTACCATTATTTTTAGAGATAATTATTATTCTAGGTATTTCTAAAACATCTTCACTTTCTTAATCTCAATCTAACTACTTTTTTTTTTATCAAAATAACATGTTGGATTAAAATTCATAATATTTAATTAAAATTCATGATAAATAAATTATTTATGAAATAGTTTCATAAATACTCAGCTCGATCCCTGATGAAAAAGAAAAGGAACTATTGTGAACAATAATCAACACCATACATAGTACTCCTTACGTTCCTAATTTATCTTCCAAATAGGTTTGACGCACAATTTAAGATAGTGAGTATTGTGTGGTGGAGAGTTGTGCAGAGAAGAGAGAAATGTGTAAGGTTTGACACACTATTTTGCACTGTTTGACACTGTTTTGATGTAGATAACTTTCTATTTAAAGAAATTGGAACTTAAATTAGGGATATCCAAATAAGGAAAGTGAGAACTTGATCTTCCGGAGACGGAGGGAGTACTATGGCGTCCATATGCTTAACCACCTTTTTTCTCTTTTACCTGTTTTTCTTAACCACCTTTTCCATTGATTTTAATTTATGATGAAGATTTAACGTATTAATGTTTTTATCTATTTTTAACGTATTTTAGATTATTAAATATTATGTGCTAATTACTAACATGAGTTTTGTGTTATACTAAAATAAGTATAGTGTAAAATAAATATGTATGAGTAAACATTATAAAAAGAATCCGATTATAAAAAGAATCCGATTATGTGTAAATTAAATGTGCATCGATATAATTTTTAAAAATAAGGACAATAAAATTGATTGGTCTGAAATAAGAAATCGGTGCTTCTTTATGCAATACTGACATGGCCATACAGAAATTGATATTTGAGCATACTAGAGATTTTCAATGTGCCTGTTAAATTTTTTTTATGCTCATTTCATAAGTTATCTTTGCTGATTTATCATTCGTGTAATGCTCATTTTAAAATGAGTATTACACCACACATTTTAAAATGTCATATCTATGTGTATTGGTGTAATGCTCATTTTAAATTTTTCGATTGCTCATTTCATAGATTATGTATTCCAATTTAATATTTGAGCATGCTGGAGATTTTAAATAAGCTTTTTGAACTTTTGGATTATCATTTCATAAATATGTATGCTTATTTAATTTGATATTGGTGTAATATTCATTAGTTAAGTTACATATGCTCATTTGGTATTGATGTTATGCTCATTTGTAAAATGACCTATCAATAAATATTTCAAAAGTACCATTACATTAGATTTGCATATTGAAATTCATATGAATTATTGTGTATAAATATAATTTAATAGGTTTGATGCTCATTAAAAGTTCGTTAATGCTCATTGAATAGAAATCATGATTTTCATCTCAATAGCGGATGTTTGATGCTCAATGAAAATGTCGTAATGTTCAACTCACAAACCTTACCATTTTCATACCAATGCGCACTTTGTAAGTTTTGTATGCTCATTTAGTACTGACATTATTCTCATTTTTATAATGTCATATCAATGCTGATGAAACTAACACTCAACATAATAGGTCCGATACTCATTAAAAGTGAATTAATGCTCATTTAAAAGAAATTGTGATTTTCATCCCAATAGAGAAAGTTTGATGCTCAATGAATGTTGTGATGTTAAATACTGACATACTTTACAATTTTCATATCAATGAGCATTTTGTAAGTTATGTAGCTCATTCCGTACTAATGTTATGCTCATTTTTAAAATGTCATATCAATGCATTTTTTAAAAGTTTCATATTACATTAAATTCGAATATTAAAATTCATATAAGTGAATTATAGATATAATTTAATAACTTTTTATAGAAGAAAAAAAAAAGAATAAAAATTGAATTAGAAAGTATGAAGCAGAGGTCGTGATGCTCATTGTTAGCCTTCTAATACTCAATAAAATAAGGCAGATACTCATTAAAAGTACACTTAATGCTCGAATAACAGAGTTTACTATTTTCAAATCAATAAATGCTTCAAAAGTATCATATTAAATTAGATTCTTTATACAAAGTACGCTTAAGAAATTTTTATCAAACAAAAAATAAGAAAATGAATGTAAATTAAAAGATATGAATGAGATATCAGGATGATTATTATTAGACTCTTAATACCCGACAGGATATGTCTAATGCTTATTAAAATTGCTCAATAGAAAAATCAATCATGTTTAACAATTTTGTGTATTCCTTCATTGATCTCGGTCTTTACCGCACTTAAACAAACTAATAAAAATAAGATATTGTATTAGGAACATGATATGCTTTTTATATTTGGATCGCATTGCAGTTTTAGATTCTTTTTTTGTTCTAAGAATTAGAATCAGGAATTGAAGAAGCTAAGAAATTTCGCAAGTGCATTTCGTTGAAGAAGTCATGAGTCAACTGCCCATCTAATTTTGCCGCCGTAGCTTGACCAAAGTTCAGAGAAGATGACAAGCTATCCACAAGTGCATTTCGTCTTCTTCAATAGCACATTCACGCCCATACGCGCCGTCATTAATTTCGCACTCCACAATGGCAGCAGTTGCAATTAACATGAGGTGGGTGGTAATAATACATAAATTATATTCTCTTAATTATTGTTGATATTATCATGTACTTAGACTAGTCAATGTATATCCGTGTATTTGTTACGAAGCTTCACACACACACTTAGGGTAGTTTGTTAGACTATCTTATCACATACGATGCTCCCGATACGTAGCATGTATGTATAAATACTCTGATGTATAATTGTTTGTACTCATTCAATACATTAAACATTTATATGGTATCTAGAGCCATTCTCCCACGAGCATAAGTTTTTTTTTTCCTCCCAATCATGGCTATCACTGCCGATACTGCCGTCCTTCCACTCACTGCCACCGCCAATTTTCCCATCAAACTCACCTCTTCCAACTTCCCTGTTTGGAAATGCCAAGTTCATGCCGCTCTTATCGGCCTCGGACTTGACGGATACGTTGATGGTACCATCACCATCCCAGATCAATTTATTGATGTGGCCAAAACACGTATCAATCCGTGTTATACCATCTGGTATCGCCAAGACAAAACTATTCTCAGTGCTCTAATTGGTAGCTGCTCCGACACCATTCAACCAATTATCTCATCGGCCGCAACTGCACGTCAAGCATGGGATAAACTAGCTCTCACATATGCTAGTACATCTCGTGGTCGCATCATTTCGCTAAAAACTACGCTAGCCCGGACAACCAAAGGTGCCCGCTCGGTCACAGAATACATGGCAGAGATGACCGCTATTGCCGAAGCACTTGCTCTTGCCCAGAGTCCGATTTCTGAAGAGGACCTGGTAATCAATATTCTTAATGGCCTTGGGTCCGATTACACGGATCTTACATCCGCCATACGTGTACGCCCGACTGCCCTTCCCCTGGCAGAACTCCAAACTATTTTACTTGAGCATGAAAATCGTGTGCATGAGGCAGCCTCCACTACTTCAACGTTACTTCCTACGGCCCATGCTACTCAAACCACAGAAAGAATTTACAACTCTTCTCCCACTCAAGATAGGAGGTCTCATCCAAATGCTGAGCGTCGTGGCAGTAATCCTCGTAGAGGGCGAGGTGGCCACAATTATGGCTAATCAAGATTTGGACAATCCCCAATTATCTGCCGATTTTGTGATAATTCGGGTCATGACGTCAAAAATTGCCGGAAACTTCAGAGGTTCCTTCGTGATAATCAGGTGCCTCACCCGTCTCAGCACATAAGCCCGACAGTTCATCACGTCGCTACAACATCCAATGCCTCTATTCAGCCCTGGATGTTTGATAGTGGTGCTTCTCACCATGTTACTTCTGATCCCACCACACTTCCTAATTATGCTGATTATGGCGGTCCTGATGCAGTTCGTCTTGGGGATGGTAAGACTCTTCCGATCACTCACACTGGTTCTACTACCCTATCCACCAATTCCCGCCCCTTGTCTCTTTCTAATATTTTATGTGTTCCTCGCCTTCGCAAAAATTTAGTTTCTGTTGCCAAACTCTGTAAAACTAACCATGTCTCCATTGAATTTTTTCCTACTCATTTTCTTGTCAAGGATCGGGTTACGGGGGCGCCACTTCTACGCGGGGAGAACATTAATGATGTTTACTATGCTTCAGCTAGCCAGTTGTCCCAGATTAATAATACTCAGCTCACAGTTGTGTCTCGGTGGCACCATGCCTTGGGCCACCCCTCCACTCGTGTTTTTAATTCTTTAGTTAGCCAAAATAAAAATGTTATTTCTTGCAATCCTTCTTCTGAATTCCATTGTATGTCGTGTTCTATTAATAAAAGTACTAAATTACCATTCTCCAATTCTTCTATTTGTGCAACATCTCCACTCCAAATTATATATTCTGATGTCTGGGGTCCGACTGATAAGTCAATTGATGGCTACACCTATTATGTGCTTTTTGTGGATTTATTCACACGCTACATGTGGATCTATCCTATTAAGCATAAATCTGATGTATCAAGTGTGTTTCCACAATTTCATCGTTTGGTGGAAAATTTTTTTAATGCAAAAATTCGCACTCTATTTTCAGATAATGGAGGTGAATATCTAAAATTGAGGTCTTATCTTAATACCCATGGTATTTCTCATCTCACAACTCCACCTCATACACCTGAACATAATGGTCTGGCTGAGCGTCGTCATCGTCACATAGTTAACACGGGTCTTGCTTTGTTACATTATTCTGGTCTTCCATCTACTTTTTGGTCCTATGCGATTCAAACCGCAGTATATTTAATTAACAGGCTCCCTACCCCGGTCCTTGACAACGACAATCCGTATTTCCGCTTACATCAACAACACCCAAATTATATGAAATTGCAACCTTTTGGTTGTTTGTGCTACCCCTGGCTCCGTCCGTATGCACCTAATAAAATCGCCCCTCGCTCCACCCCTTGTATTTTTGTGGGCTACTCGTTATCTCAATCGGCGTACATGTGCTTTGCACCCTCAAATAATAAGGTGTATGTAAGTCGGCATGTTAAATTTCTACCCGATATATATATTATCCTTCTCGTCCCAACACATCCTCTGGCCCTTCCGCCCAACCATGCAGTTCATGCAACCAAGCACGTAACTTCGTCTCACCTATCCCATCTATATCCCCCTCTGCCACGTCACCACATCCTATCCCTATCCCATATCAACCCATAACTTCTGGTCAAACCTCCTCCCACTCAACCACATCTCCCTTATACCAACTCACCCAAATTCCAAATTCCGTACCTCTCTCACCAACCTCAACAATACCCAATTCATCTCCTACATCTAATAATTGTAATCCTAATAATCAATCGTCCTTATCCCTGCCCAATAACCCCACACCTCCTCCCCATAATACTTTGTCCTTATCACCCATACCCTCCGACCAACCTTCACATCAACCCGACCCCACACCTTTATACTCACCCCCTCCGTCTTCTATCACCTAGGACACTTCACCGGCCCCATCACCTACCATATCTCCTACAACGCCTCGTCCCACTCGGAATCGGGCTCCCAATCCAAAATATTTTGGTAGTCCGTTTGTAAATCTCACTACCCGTCACCCTTTACCCACAACCCTTGAACCTACGAGTGTGAAGGAGGCCTTACGTGATCCCCGATGGCGTACCGCAATGGAAGAAGAGATGAATGCACTTAAACGCAATCAAACGTGGACGCTCATTCCTCGTCAAGCTCAGCAACCTATAACATGTAAGTGGTTGTTTCGGATCAAGCGGAATGCAGATGGGAGTATTGCCCGTTTTAAAGCACGACTGGTGGCTCGTGGCTTTCTACAACAGCCCGGACGTGATTATGCCGAAACTTTTAGTCCGGTTACCAAACCGGCAACCATCCGTCTTGTTCTGGCAATTGCCTTAGCACGTAACTGGCCTCTCCGGCAGTTAGACGTCAACAACGCTTTTCTTCATGGGTCACTTTCGGAAGAGGTATACATGGTACAACCACCGGGTTTTGTTGACTCTGCTCAACCCACACACATATGCCGACTCAACAAAGCGTTATATGGCCTTAAACAGGCACCCCGTGCATGGTACTTAGAGTTGTCACGGTTCCTACTATCAACCGGCTTTCGGAAATCTCGGGCGGACGCCTCACTTTTTATTTATGCTCACCGTGACATCCTAATGTATTTTCTTGTTTATGTTGATGACATTATACTTACAGGTAACAATCCTTCGGCACTGCAGAAGTTTGTTAGTCAACTCACTGGCCGATTTTCTATAAAGGATCTTGGGCCCTTGCATCATTTTCTTGGTGTAGAAACTATCTCTCATCCTCAAGGCATGTTTCTCTCTCAACGTCAATACATTTTGCATATTCTTGAAGAGTGCCGTATGGATGGAGCTAAGGAAAATTCTACCCCAATGAGCTCTAGTTCACCTCTTCATCTCACTGATGGTACGGCTAGCACAGATTCCCATCAATATAGGAAAACTCTTGGCCTACTTCAATATTTGGCATTCACTAGGCCGGACATTTCTTTTGCCATTAATCGTCTCTCTCAATTCATGCATGCACCTACGGAGGCTCATTGGCAAGGTGTGAAACGTGTTCTTCGTTATCTCAAAGGAACCTTGAATTATGGTTTGTTTCTCAAACGTGATTCCCCTCTCACCCTCACTGCATTTTCAGACTCTGACTGGGGTGGCATTCATGATGGGGGGAAGTCAACTACTGCATATGTCTTATATTTAGGCTCCAATATTATTTCATGGAAATCAGCAAAACAGAAGACAGTTGCTCGCTCTTCCACGGAAGCGGAGTATCGTGCTATAGCCCATGCTAGTGCTGAAATTTTATGGATGCGGAATCTTCTCTCCGAACTCGGTGTTCGTCTATCCACTACACCCACATTATTTTGTGACAATCAAGGCGCTACTTATGTTTGTGTTAATCCTGTATTTCACTCCCGCATGAAACACGTTGCCCTAGATTTCTTCTTTGTTCGAGATCTAGTGGAAAGTGGTCAACTCATGGTTCATCATATTTCAAATAAACTTCAAATTGCAGACATCTTGACTAAACCACTTGGCAGATCTCTTTTTGAACGGTTTCAGTCCAAGCTGGGAGTTTCCGATGGAACCTCCATCTTGCGGGGGCATAATAATACATAAATTATATTCTTTTAATTATTGTTGATATTATCATGTACTTAGACTAGTCAATGTATATCCGTGTATTTGTTACGAAGCTTCACACACACACTTAGGGTAGTTTGTTAGACTATCTTATCACATACGATGCTCCCGATACGTAGCATGTATGTATAAATACTCTGATGTATAATTGTTTGTACTCATTCAATCACTGGTGGAAAACGAGCGATATGCGGCACTTTTTTTGGACAAGTGCGGCGCTTTTAAGCGCCGCATATCCGACCGCCGCACAGGAATTTTTAGCGGCGCTTATTTTTATAAACGCGCCGCAGATGTTGCGGCGCTTATTTAACTTAAACGCCGCATATGGCGTTTTAAAATTATTGTAAAATTCGGCCGCCCGTGCGGCGCTTTGTTACGCCAAGCGCCGCGTATAAATAAAAAATTAAAAAAAAACGTTTTCTATCTGCGGTGCCTATTGCTTAAAAGCGCCGCATATTTAGTTCAATTTTTAAAATACATGCGGCGCATAACATTAAAAAAGCGCCGCATCTGCTATTTTTTTTTTTAAATTACATTTTAAATAATTAATAATTCCTAATTTGCCAAAACATACACATTCATCAAATCTGCATTGTTACTAGCATTCGAACACACTATATGTTTACCAAAATACAAACATACATCAATTTTTTTGTTACATCAAAGACAAATTGTAGCAACACTTCCAAATTAAACACGAAATGACAAAAGATAAGTTTAAATTACAATCCAAAATAAGAAATTGTAGCTAATCTACATATTTATAACTACATCTAAAAAGAACCTTGCCCATATATCACGAATATTGTTAAACTCGTCAACGGTATACGCTTCACTTCTTGGTGACCAATCCTGAAATAATTAAAAACATAAAAAATGAATAGTTTGTAAAGTACAATGCATATAATAGTCAAATTAAAACATATTGTTATACCTTTCCGATGTCAATGCTACCTTGATAAAAAATTGCTTCCCACATATAGCGCATGACATAATATCCACATTCTGTACTCCCAATTTGTCTTGCACACTTCAATTATAATGCATATAAAAATAGTCAAAGAGGGTAAAAATGAAATATGCTACTTGTTGAACAACATATTGAATTTATATACCTTGATATCATGCCACTTGATTGACTTTCCACGACCATTGTGTGTAGAAGCAACTCTATACGCTCTATAAGAATTGTAAAGATTTAAATATATTTATATAAGTTATAAGGTACAATACATATAATAATTATATACTAAAAAAACAATGTAATAATACGTACATTCCCAAGTCTTTTTGTATGGCAAAGCTAGATCCACTTGGAATAGAGTTAAAGATGAAGCCTTTATCAACTGTTGGACAAATCACAATCAAGATCCAATGAAACCTAGTTTTAAAAAACATGTATCAAGTTAGTCAAAATAAATAATTTTAAATAACCAAAAATCGTAATTTTACATTACACTTACCCTTCATTATATGGCAAGAAGATCATTCTTTTCTCGAAATTGACATTTAAGGCATGTTTGAAATATGTCATTGTACCCTTCTTGTCAATTTGATAAGCTTTATGAGAGCACATTGATGGGCATAACAATGCAACATCATCACAACCAAGTTCATCCAGTTTATGCTTGATACAACTGTATTCAACAAAATAACACAATATATTATGTCTTCGTTAAGTTTAATTTTTTATATGTAATATTTTTTAATATTTTTACGTATTAAATACTTACAATAAAAAAGTCTGAACAATGCTAATATCCAGAGAATCGCCCTTGAGAAATTCAATCAGATCCTCACGATGAATAGTGATCCCGAATTCCTTTTCTTCTTGGTAGTGGAACAACTCAACGGGTAAAGGAACTGAAAACTTACAAAGTACGGGTTCATACCACTCGAGCATCTCATGTAACTACTGCAAATCTTCACTAAGTGATTCCAAAACAATCTCACTTATCAACGGATATGTGCTAGGAGGAACCATAGATTGTGGAATCTCTCTCGCTACAAAAGGCTTCTCCTTAACTGCATCTTGCTTGTTTGACTTTTTTTGTTTCTCCTAAAAATATCAATAAAAGAATACCAAAAAACTGTAGAATACTTGTATTTCATTGTGAAATTGTAAATACATCATCATTATTATTTCATT